AATACTAAGAGTTAGAAGTTAAAACTTAAACCAATAGTGACTACTGAGCTCACCACCACAATATAGATCAAATCTCAATCCAGATCCAGTGTGCAGGTTTCTCCTTTAAGTTGTCCAGACACTGTCATAAGGAAGGGATTGCAATGATATATGCAGACACAGCCATGAATTCAGATCATCTGAACGGTCTCAATAGCAATGATAGGCAGTGGTTAAACTGTCGTGACTCTTTTTGCAGAGGAAGTGGTAAGAGGAGACCAAGTTTTGGTAAAGTATGGCTGGAATAGAGCACAAGTTCAATTACAGCACAGAAAACACAGGGTAGATTTTTCCCTGAAGAGAGAAACTGTGGTGGTGCAGACAGACACGCCATCATTACGACTACCATATTATCCTGTTCACGGACTTTAAATAAGAACATAGGCAGCCTTTTAACTGCTACAAAACAGAGACACAGCACACAGGAAATGTGGTAAGAGACAGACAACCAGCAACAAGATACCACATTGTGTGCACAAACAACTTAAAGTAGGCTACTAGAAATGAGAAACACAACTACTCTCCATCATCTTCAGTGAGAGTGCATCTTTTTTTTTTTGCCCTTGTAAGGAGATGGTTTGGGCGTATATTATGCTAATAACTGTGCACCCTCATTAAAGATGCAGTCACTCGTACTTAACTTCACAGTTAAGAGGAAATGCAAGCTCATGCAAAGAAGTGTCTCGTCCTCGAAAGTTCAAGTATGATGCAATTGCTACTTGCAAATTCATACAGCAAGATGATGTTTAGTCAATGAGAATCTAAATCTCAAACATTTACCCTGTTTGATTAAAGGGAAAGCAGATGGTATATTTTCAAATTTGGAATGTATTATTTGTGCTTTATTACAAAATATCCTTAGAATGTGATGTGATATATCCTGTTGTCAAATTCCTTGCAAGCTTCATTTGCTCAAAGCATGTGTGAACGCACCTTTGTATAATCTGGATTATTCACTTTAAGAACAATGCTTAAAGGCAAATGTGTGCCTGTGCAGTGCACCTCCTTGCGTGAGAAACTTCTCAGTCTGCACATAAAAGAAAATACAATTATGAATTTATTGAAAAAGTTCTCTTTCATCATCAACAGCTGATAACAGATCATATCAGAGTGTGCCATTTCCTTTCTATTTGAACACATGGTGTTCTTTTTTCAGACTGATCTCATGAAATGGCGTATGTATGACACGCCAATTCGTATTTCCATTTTTGGCGTGCTATCAACACGCATAATCGCTTTTCAGCGTGTTTATCAACGCCTTTGACTTAACGTTATATTACTGTATTATGTATATATAAATATATGACCTACCCCAACCCCGTCCCTAAACCTACCCGTCACTGGGGTTAATACCATTTATGAGTTTTCTCCTACCATCCTAGGAAAAGAAATATCGCTCCACAGATGTAGATATAGATTTTGCTTCGTTTCGCTCGGACATTTAACGGCGTACACATACACGCGGAATCACTCGGACATTTAACGGCGTACACATACACGCAAAAGATTTCGGCGTGGACATACACGCGGATATCTCAAAATGCGTATAGATAACACGCCACTGGAATTGAAAGTGGCGTGTATGTTTACGCAAAGTCATGATGTCATGTTGTCTTTTTTACACATTCTTGCTAAACCAAAGAGAGAAGAGATTTTGCATACTGCATGCTGAAAAAATCCAAGAACCGCCGTTTTCAAAGAAAAAACTCTCCGTTTGCTCCCCATTATGAAATAACCATCTGAATATGGAACTGTATGGAATTGTTGTTTTGCATGGGATGCTATTTTGTGGTCCAGTTGACTATCAAAACCATAAGCGATACTTGCCTTGGTTGTCTCTGTACACGGCTGATTTATACACGCAGAGGCTGAGTGCAATTTTAAGTTTGTGGATGTTATGTCTTCCACAGCCTATTAGCACTCTGAGTATATCTGCATAGAGAGCAAGAGCAAGAAGGCATCCTTCTCAAAGAAAAATAAGCTCACTGGGTGGGAATCGAGCCCAAGTCCAAAGTCTAGGTCTGACCCACCAGATTAAATGTATAATAAATATTACCTCTAATGAAGTCTTATTGGTAGAAATATGCCAGTTGCCATTTTAAGTTTACTCTGTATGGTTACTATTCATTTTATTTTAGCACTACTGACTCAGCTATTTTAGCATTTATGCATCACCAGTTTTATTGATATTTTAAATTAGCTAGTATTTTTATATTTTCCATTCTTATTTAGTTTATTTTTTATTTCATCATTTTTATTTGTTTGAGTTTTTTGTTACTATTAAAGTGCCCAATTATGGTTTTTGATTATTACCTTTCAGCATATAGCGGTTTATGAATATAAAAAGGTGTGCAAAGTTTTAAAGAACAAAGTACACAAAGTTATTGTCTCCTAAAAGAAAGAGCCGATTCTGAACTGCCGAAAGTTCCAGTCTTAGTTTCTGTTACATACCTACGTAACAAATTTGTATAATGCCAGCCCCACGTCTACTTCGACCCACCCTAATACACTAGCTGTAGCTGAGGCCTAAAAGAGTTTGGTTCATGTTGTTGAAATGTCAAGAAATCACTGTTTTCAGCGCTGCGAATCCACTTTCCACGCATTTCAAAAGGATAAGGATTGACGCTGGAATTGATACGGAAAAACAACACCACCATTGTTCCTGTTCGTATCACTGTGTATCATTCGCTGAGAAAGCCTCCGGAGCAGAAATTCAGGTTTGGTAATGGGTGTTTCATTTCTGATATGCGCTGTAAGTGGAAGACTAATCACAACTAACTGGACCGTCTGACCAATCAGAGCAGAGTAGGTTCACGAAAGGGAGGGGTTTAGAGACATAGGCTGCATCCGAAATCGCATACTTCCCTACTGTATAGTAGGCGAAAAACAGTACGTGACAAAAGTAGTATGTCCGAATTTACAGTACTCATAAAAGAGAAGGCAAAAAATACCCGGATGATCTACTACTTCCACCAAGATTCTGAAGAGTGCATACGATGGACACTTTACTATCCCACGAGGCCACGGGAGACGATTCATGAATGGCAGTGAAGCGACGTAACTGACGCTGATAGGTCACATGATAAAGCAAGCATGGCGGATGCCATTCGGATGTCCGAATTACATTCATACTACATGGAACATACTTTTTTAGCTGTCATAAAGTACTGTACCTACTCAATACGATTGCGGACGCAGCCTGAATCTTCAAACAAATTGTAAAGTGTTTTTGTAAAGTGACTAAAGTGTTTCCAAAAAAAAATTAGGAACCTTTAAAATAGCATAATTGGGGCACTTTAAGGTTTAATTTAGTTGTATTTTTAATAAAAAAATTTAAATTTCTCTAATTTATTAATTTTTTTACTTTAAGAAAAATGTTTTTAGTAGTTACGATAATCCTAAAACTGAAATTTACACTATTGTTTGCAGCGCCAATAATTGCCACACCAAAAAAAGTACAATGAATTGAAACGTAAACAAAACAAATGAATGAGAAGAATGTGTGTTTTGAGGTGATGGAAATTGGGTAAAGCAGAGTAACAGAGAGGGAGAAGGCAAAAATCAAGGGATGACAGAAGAATTGCACAGGTGGAGACAATTGAGAGGTACAAAAGCACTTCCAATGGGTTTGGTCATGTGAATACAGAAACATGTCTGGCTTTTTCCCCATCCATTCAAAAGCACTGCCCAGTCATCATTCACATTCAGTGCCCAGCCTCAAAACTGCTTTCTGCTCACTTTAAACCTACAGAGAGACGTGTTATAGCAACAATACAACAGCACCTGGTAGAAACTGGTGATTTTTTTTAATACAACTTCCTATAAGCCAGACATCTATATTCAATTCTGAGGCTATGCGCATTTGGACAGTTAAAGCTGTAACCCTTCACATTATTCTGCATAACTGAATCCAAATTATTCCAGTCTTTCCTGGGGTACAACCTCAAACAGAATACAAGAAAATCCATACCCTCAAAATAGTAAAAACAACTGTGTACATACACTAGTTTGTCATCGCTGTCAATTGAAGAAATGTCTCAAAAAACAACAAATGAACTGCCTGACAACATTGTTGGGCAGCATAGGCACAACAAATGAAATGTTCTTAGCAAATGCAGTGCACACTGACATACAGAATCTCATAATGTTTATCACGCCAAAAAAAATATATATATACATTTTCTCTCTTAACTACTGTTTCAAATCCGAGTCCATTATAACACAACTCGTTTTAAAGCTTTATATTAAAGCTTATATTCTATTTAAGTAATATTCTTATATTCTTCTAAACTCAATTCATAGTCATGTTCAACATGTAAAGGTGTCCCAAGGTTTTTCACAATCCATTAGGACCTCCACCTCCATCAACTTGTTTAAAACCCACATAGTCTCATTTGTTCTCTTTGGTCTTTGTGAGAGCATAGTGTGCAAAACAAAAAAAAAAACGTTTGAACCCTTTACTATTTGTATCAATTTATTAAGTTTGTCTAGTTTAATCTCATTAAATGTACAGTAGTTTGGTCTAATTTTGAAGTTTTTAAAAATCTGCTTTAAAAAATATATACAAACCGTAAAGTATCCCATTGAAAAGTGGGCTTTTGAGTGATGGAGAACTACATGCTCATACTCCTCTGAATCAAGCTTCAGTGTTACAGCTGTTGTGTCGATTTACATGGCACATTAGACGCAATTCATCACTTGAAACACTCAGTTTTTCGACCATTTCTGCGTAGGATAGTTAGACTTTTCAAGAAAAAAAAACTCCGGATGCAATAAAACAGTTGCTCTGCTGCAGTAGTAACAGTGAAAGACTAAAGGATGCTGAACTGATGCCATGTTTCTCACCTGAAGTACGCAAAGGCACAGTATGAATATGTAGCACTTCTAAAAATTAAAAATACAACATAATAACGGTATATGTCTGCTAAACTTGAAGAATTTAAGGAAAAAAATGCGCTTACCTGGTAAAGAGTTGTCGCGCGGTAAGGATCGAGTGTAATCACAACGCTGGGTTTGACACCTGTGCGGATGACGTCAAAACCACGCACGCGTTCTGTGTGAGCGCGTAGAATCGCCGCTCTTCTTGCAGTCTCACTCTGTCAGTTTCCTAAAGCAGAACTGATTGAGACACTTTCAGCGCGTCAGTTTTTAGGCTGTGCACTCCATGTGACCAAATTCCCACACCGCCCAGGTTTTTTTCAAACTTTTCCCAAGAATGTTTCCGCTGTAGAGATGATGGAGCATCATGCGCGCGGTCCTCACTCACATGCCACGTGTTGCTGTCAAAATAAAGGCTGGGGATGGGCACGCGAGGGTGGCACGCGGGGCGGGTCGAGTAGGTGGGATGAAACAGAAATATGATTTTAAAAACAATTATTATGAGACTCCGTGCTAGTGCGCCACCTGCTGACAATGATAACTAAAGGGAAATGTGCTTTATTCTCTGTTTAAAATACAATGATTTAATATAAACATTTAGAATTAAGATTATAAAGTCTCCTTATAGTTATACTATATACAGAATATATATATATATATATATATATATATATATATATATATATATATATATATATATATATATATATATATATATATATATATATATACAAATATAATATATCTATTAAAAAAGATTTATATTTAAAATAAATACTGTTCTTTTTGTAACTTTTTATTCATCAAAGAATTCTACGATATTAAGCAGCACAACTGTTTAGAAACTGTTAGAACTATAACATTGATAATAAATCATAATATTATAATGATTTGTAAAAGATCTTGTGACACTGAAGACTGGAGTAATGGCTAATGAAAATTCAGCTTTGCATGACAGAAATAAATTATATTTTAATGTATATAAAGCAATTATTTTAAATACTTTTTTTCTGTATTTTTGATCAAATAAATGCAAGCTTGATAAGCATAAGATACTTCTCAAAAACATTAAAAATAGTACTGTCCCAAACTTTTGACCAAAACATTACTATTTATCTTATGCTTATCAAACCTGCATTTATTTTTCTGTATGTATATATATATATATATATATATATATAAATCCTGAAAAAAGTATCACACGTTACAAAAAATAATGCAATTTTAAGCAGCACAAATGTTTCCAACATTGATCATAACTGAGTATCAAATCAGCATATTAGAATGATTTCTGAAGGATCATGTGACACTAAGGAGTAAGGATGCATAAAATTCTGCTTTGCATCACAGAAGAAATATACATAAAGTAGTTTAAAGCTTAAAGTTTGATAGATAGATAGATAGATAGATAGATAGATAGATAGATAGATAGATAGATAGATAGATAGATAGATAGATAGATAGATAGATAGATAGATAGATAGATAGATAGATAGATAGATAGATAGATAGATAGATAGATAGATAGATAGATAGATAGATAGATAGATAGATAGACAGACAGACAGACAGACAGACAGACAGACAGACAGACAGACAGACAGACAGACAGACAGACAGACAGACAGACAGACAGACAGACAGACAGACAGACAGACAGACAGACAGACAGACAGACAGACAGACAGACAGACAGACAGACATAGATAGATAGATTAAAAATAGCAATGTTTCCAAACTTTTGACTGTACTATATATAAACAGTATAATTATATTATATTTACAGTAGATATACAGTGTGTATTCAGCTATATATATATATATATATATATATATACTATATGTTAGTAATTTAATTTAATTGCAATAATTTGATAATTATTTATACAAATCTAAGGAACTAAAACCTTTGTTTTATATACATTTATATATATATTTTTTTCACAAGTCTAGAATGGCATCATAAAAAGGGCTGAGTATAAAGCTTTTATCAGTGCAGTGTCACAAATCTACCAAAATGTATTTTAAAAAACTGCAGTTTATTTGTCTGTTTTGTAACATAAAAATGCTTTATGTTTCATTCGGCATTCCAGATCTCATAAAATCAGTCTAAATCAATCTGTAGTATCTCCAAACACATTTAAGGTTGTTCATCTGCGTATGTGTTTCGGAAAATGACAATGCCTTTCGCTGAAAGATAGACGACATCATGTTCTCAAGACTAATTATTTCATTTGTCATGTAGGTGTGTTGACTAATGAAAGACAGCTTATGAATAACAGCAGAACCGTAGACCAGGCACTGAAAAGGTATTCAGATTGGACTGTGTATGAAAGTAACAAGCAACCAATGTTTCTTTTTTTCCATTATTTATTTGATCATTATCAAAATCTGTGAGTACCTTCTACAATACATTGTGTGTCAATAAAAATATATTATCTTTTTTTCCCATTATTCGATAACTGTGCGAAAACGATTCAACAATCTGTACAACAAAATGCAATCAGCTACTTCAGTTCCCAGAAAAATTTAAACAGAAGACAAAAGGAGTTAATGATGGAATTCGAATGAATAGAATGAACACCGGCATCTTCAACAACCATTTTTACAGCTATAATAAACCCACAGTAAAAAGACCTCCAGCTCGTGTGCACGTGCACAAAAAAACCCTGTGCACGTTTGTTTTGACATAAACACAAGCTGACTTCATCTTAAGGCGTTGGTTTCAATTTGTAAAATCATGATTGACATACAGTTTCTTAGTTCTTGTTTTAAGCATAAATCAAAAGAAATTATAAGATTTATGCCTAAAACAAGAAAAGTACCACCATATGTAAACTCAATTCAAGATATAATCTCTAAACGTTACCTAATACAATTTTGCTCTTCAAGTAGCACACAGGTAATTACTCTTGGTTTTAATAATGTTAAGATATTTTTACTGTAGAATTTTTTGTTTTGTTTTTACATTGTGAATGACTATAACTGCAAATCATGATGTTCGTTTGATCAAGACTTCAAGTCCCGTACACACTAAGAACGATAACTATAAAGATAACGAAAATGATAACTTTATTAGCGTCCACTCCAGCAAATGATAGGGTTCTGTTAATTCTATGCGCACTCTGCAGTTTTGTCGTCTGTCACTTTAAAAGCTTGAGCTCTTTAAAGTCGGATGGATTCTGATTGGATGTCAATGTTTTTATGGTTCATCAGCTGGAAAAAAAAAATGTAAAAAGTGATTCCAACAATATCGTTTCACTGTGCCGTTACCGTTGTTGTTGTGATGTGGACTCTGCTATTATTTTATATTTATAACGATTTCTATAACTAACTAACTGTATTATCGTTAAGGCGTATTAACACCAAGCATGATCGATGACGATATAGGCTAGTTGTAAAAATCATTCTCAGTTAAAGAATAGCAGAGTTCACACCAAACCTATAATGATAACAGCAGAGAAACTATATCGTTGGAATCACTTTCAGAACGATTTTATCCAGCTGATAAATGATAAAAATCATTGACACCCAATCAGAATCCATCCTGCTGTAACGAGCTCGAGCATTTAAAGGGACAGAACTATCTTTATCATTATCTTTATAGTTTTCGTCCTTGGTGTGAACGGGCCTTTATAGTTATCGTCATTGGAGTGAATGGCCCTTAATTGCATTAATGTATGTTCAATTGAATATGGTTTTAGATAGGCCATATGGATTTAAATAGTTTATATAGTCAGAAACCATGTTTAATCTAGTTTGGATGGAACCCACAACTGATTTTTCTCTGAGCAGGAGACTTATTCATACAAAAGAGTTTGAAACAGCACTGCTTCAACACTTCCCCTGTCATAAAGCTTAAGATAATGTTGCATGCTGGGTTTGTTACACAATAAATGTGAACCAATTTAAACATTTGGAGGCAATTGCATTAAGCGTTTACAGACACTTGATAATGATTGCAAAGACTGCGGCTGTTATAATATGATGTGGCGGGCAGCTAAGCCAGCAAGTAAATGACATCTGTGATGATCGTAAAAAAAAAAAAAAAAAGATGTTTTTTTTAACCATGTCTTAGATCCAGATCCTCAGGATATGTAGTGTTCATAGCAAATCTGAAACCAAAATGCAGGTTAACTTTACAAAGACATTAAAATTGAGAAAGTCAGCTAAGATAATGTCAATAGTGTTGGAGGGGTTATAAATAAATGTAATGATAATTAAAGCATAATGCAGTGTGTATTCATCACAAATACACACGTGAGTGATCATACTGTGACAAACCCATCTGTGTCCAACATCAGTAAGAGTTACTATGGGAACATGGGCGCCATAAGGTGAGGAGTGCACATGCTTGGTGGATGATGTGAAGGAAGAATTTGTAAGTATATATTTGTGTGTGAAGAGGGGCAGTAGTTTTGTATATAGTATACAGTGACCGACCGTACAGACAGAATGTATATTGCATTGATTAGTGGTTGAGCCTGTAGTGTCAGTGAAATAGAATCTGCCAGGAAGAATTGGTGGAAGCTCCTAAACTGGTGCCACATAGTTGCCAGGGAATGTCCCAAAAGCTTGGGTCCTTTCAGACGTACCTGACAAGAAGAGAAAATAAGTGTCATTTAAACAAGAAAATAGATGGCACAAATAACTACCGCTCTGCTAACACACACACAAAAAAAAATTCTGTTGATTATGAGATGCACCGATGGTGGAAGTTACTGTAACGTCACAATCGGCCAATAGAGGGCAGTACAGGGAAAGTCTTTAAAAGATACATATTTCAGTTTTGTAACATGCTGTTTATGAGTAGAACTGTATATTCTGCTGTGCTATTATCTGAAACAATTTATATACACTACCATTCAAACGTTTGGATTCAGATTTTTTGTTGTTGAAAGAAATGAAAACTTTTATTTATCAAGGAAGCGGTAAATTAAACAAAAGTGACAGTAAAGACATTTATAGGGCCCTATTTTAACGATCTAAGCACATGGTCTAAAGCGCACAGTGCAAGTGCACTTAGGTTGTGTCCGAATCCACTTTTGCTAGTTTAACGAAGGGAAAAATGGTCGGCGCGCCCGGCGTATGGTCTAAAAGGGTTGTCCCTATTCTCTTAATGAGTAATGGGTGTGTTTTGGGCTTTACGTGCGCAAAACCAATCAGTGTCTCATCTCTCATTCCCTTTAAAAGCCTGTTGCGCTCGCACCATGGCGGATTCTCCATTTACATGGCGGAATTTGATAGTGGAAAGACCGGACGAGTTTTCAGAGCGCAAACGGATGTGCTCGTGCGCAAGGTAAAAGTGCGCAAGCAGAACATCTATGGGACAAGCCGGATTCCACCATATCTTTATGTACACAATAATAATCTTTTACATTGTAATGCTTTTATTTTCAATATTTGGCATGTTTGTGTGCTGCTGTGTCATGATTCTGCCCTCGTGTCCTTGATTTTCTCTAGTCTTGAGGCAGGATCATGACAGAATCATGTTTTGTGTGCAAGCACATGGTCTTGTGTTTTGAGCCATGTGCTTGTGTTGTCTCGTTACGTTACCCCGCCCCCTTGTTAGTCTCGTCATTATTGTCTAGTCAGCTTCACCTGTCTTTGTCATTAGTGTTCCCCTATTTCATCCCCTTGTGTTTGCTGTCCTGTGCCGGTTCATTGTGTCACACTTTGTGAGAGTCTACCTGTGAGTACCTTGTCTTTGGAGAACGTCTTGATCTTGTATTTGCTGTTTTATAGTCTAGTGTTTGTCTAGTGTTATCTAGTTTAGTTATCCCTCGTTTGTATTGCCTCTGTTTTGCCCCCTCGTGGGCTTTATTTTCCCCTGTTTTTCTGTTATAATAAACGTTGTGTAATTGTCTACCGTCTGCGCTTGGGTTCTTCTGCTATCATCATAACAGAATGAACCGGCCAAAACAGAACCCAGCAGACTGTATGTCTTTTCCTGCTATTCGACAGTCGACTGACCAGGAATTGTGGTGGCAGTCGGCCATCGCCGACAGCAAGTTGGGCAAGCTTCCTTTCCCTCCCCAGGGAGAGAGGTCCCTGAGGAGATATGCCCAGGCCGTGGAAGCAAGGAGGCTTTTCTTACCTGAGATCCTCACCAACCGTTACCTCATCGCAGGTCTCAATGTTCCCCCTCCTCTGGCTGAACGGGAGAGGCTGGTCCACCGCCCGTTTCGGGACATGGTGGACTGTTTGTGTCAGGAGGAGCAGCAGGGCTCCTCCACGGGCTCTCCACCTTCTGCCTGCCTGCCAGCTATTCCCGAGGGTCGAATGATAGGCGTCGCGACACTTGGGGACCAGGCTGGCTCCCTCACTACTCCTGGCACTTCTTCTACCCCCTTCGGTCTTCGAGGGAAACGAGGGAGGCGAACCTCGTGGGACTCTCCCTCAGAGTCCTCAGCGTCGGAGTCAATCCTGCCAGAGATAACCCCTCCTTCGCATGACACAGTCGCCGCCGTGCTTCCCCAACCCGTCTCAGCTCCGGCGATGGTCTCTGCTTCTCGACCTAGGAGAAAGAGGAGGAAGAGGGGAGCCTCCCGTTCTTCAAGCGCCATCCCAGATCCCACTCCAGCGAGTGCAGTCACAGAGCCCGCTGCAGTCACAGAGCCCGCTGCAGTCACAGAGCCCGCTGCAGTCACAGAGCCCGCTGCAGTCACAGAGCCCGCTGCAGTCACAGAGCCCGCTGCAGTCACAGAGCCCGCTGCAGTCACAGAGCCCGCTGCAGTTACAGAGCCCGCTGCAGTCACAGTGCCCGCTGCAGTCACAGAGCCCGCCGCTGTGAAGGCGGTCCCAGCACCCGCTGCTGAGAGAACAGTTCCTGAGCTAACTTCTGAGAGAGCTGTTTCCGAGCTCGCTGCTCCAGCTCCTGAGAGTACTGCACAGGAGAGCGCTTCCGAGTTTAATATGAGCACTACATCTGAGTCTGAGTCGATTACTTCTCACCCTGTCTCCTGTCCTGTGCTGTCTCCTTCCCTGTCCCAGTCAAGTTCCCCCAGCGCTTCTCCACGTGTCACCCTGTCTCAGTCTAGTTCCCCTATGGCTTCTCCTCGAGTGCCTCCACCCAAGTCCGCCCGGAATCCTCGTCCCAAGCCCTCATCCCGTGGACCTAAGACCCCCAGCACACCCATCCACCCTGGACCACCCCCCATGAACTCTGTGTTTCCTCCGCCACCTCTTCCTTGTTTATTATTTTTAATGTTTCATCCTAACCCTGTTGTTGTGTTTTCGTGTTTGCCGTTACTGTTATTTGTCATGTTTTGTTGGTTTGTGACGATGTCTCAGTCTGTCATGTCCCGTGTTTGATGTCCCCTTGAGGAGCGTCTGGTAGCCGCTCCTTAAGGTGGGGGTTCTGTCATGATTCTGCCCTCGTGTCCTTGATTTTCTCTAGTCTTGAGGCAGGATCATGACAGAATCATGTTTTGTGTGCAAGCACATGGTCTTGTGTTTTGAGCCATGTGCTTGTGTTGTCTCGTTACGTTACCCCGCCCCCTTGTTAGTCTCGTCATTATTGTCTAGTCAGCTTCACCTGTCTTTGTCATTAGTGTTCCCCTATTTCATCCCCTTGTGTTTGCTGTCCTGTGCCGGTTCATTGTGTCACACTTTGTGAGAGTCTACCTGTGAGTACCTTGTCTTTGGAGAACGTCTTGATCTTGTATTTGCTGTTTTATAGTCTACTGTTTGTCTAGTGTTATCTAGTTTAGTTATCCCTCGTTTGTATTGCCTCTGTTTTGCCCCCTCGTGGGCTTTATTTTCCCCTGTTTTTCTGTTATAATAAACGTTGTGTAATTGTCTACCGTCTGCGCTTGGGTTCTTCTGCTATCATCATAACATGCTGTGCGTCCCTGTGTGTGTAATAAGCAGAGTGTACGCACGCCTATAGGCTCATGTTACTAACACGCTCTTTAAAAAACAAAAAATTATTGCGCCATTGACTTTAGACCAGGTTTGTGTTGGTCAATGGCACAGTCTATTTCAGTTGCCTCAAAATAGCAACGTGCCAACAATGCGCCTGAACACACCTCGTTTTCAGACCAGCACGCCCATGGGCGCATAAATGGGCGAAAATGCATTTGCTATTTAAACAACGTTGCGCAGGACGTGAAAATGATAACTGCGTCGGGCTGAAACTAGTAAAAAACACTTGCATCGTGCTTGGTGCTGCATTGCACTGGGTGTATGATAGGGCCCTTAATGTTACAAAAAAATTATATTTCAAATAAATGCTGTTCTTTTGACCTTTCTATTCATCAAAGAATCCTGAAAAATTGTATCACGGTTCCATGAGCATATTAAGCAGCACCACTGCTCAGCATTATAAGAAATGCACCAAATCAGCATATTAAAATGATTTCAGAAGATCATGTGACTTTTAATCAAATAAAAGCAGCCTTAGTGAGCATAAGAGAGTCAGCAAAAACATTACAAAATCTTACTGACCCCAAACCTTTGAACGGTAGTGTTTGTAATCATTTTGGACTGTAAATTCTGACACATATTTATATTTATATTCTTCATAATAAAATTCTATATAATATTCTATTATTGTCAATTTCAGATTAAAAAGCACCTACAATTCTCTTCTACTACACAAAAATAATATCAATAGTTTAAAATGCTAGAAGTCAATTTAGGCATTGCAAAATTATAATCAATATACACTCACCTAAAGGATTATTAGGAACACAATACTAATACTGTGTTTGACCCCCTTTCGCCTTCAGAACTGCCTTAATTCTACGTGGCATTGATTCAACAAGGTGCTGAAAGCATTCTTTAGAAATGTTGGCCCATATTGATAGGATAGCATCTTGCAGTTGATGGAGATTTGTGGGATGCACATCCAGGGCACGAAGCTCCCGTTCCACGACATCCCAAAGATGCTCTATTGGGTTGAGATCTGGCGACTGTGGGGGCCATTTTAGTACAGTGAACTCATTGTCATGTTCAAGAAACCAATTTGAAATGATTCGAGCTGTGTGACATGGTGCATTATCCTGCTTGAAGTAGCCATCAGAGGATGGGTACATGGTGGCCATAAAGGGATGGACATGGTCAGAAACAATGCTCAGGTAGGCCGTGGCATTTAAACGATGCCCAATTGGCACTAAGGGGCCACAAGTGTGCCAAGAAAACATCCCCCACACCATTACACCACCACCACCAGCCTGCACAGTGGTAACAAGGCATGATGGATCCATGTTCTCATTCTGTTAACGCCAAATTCTGACTCTACCATCTGAATGTCTCAACAGAAATCGAGACTCATCAGACCAGGCAACATTTTTCCAGTCTTCAACTGTCCAATTTTGGTGAGCTCTTGCAAATTGTAGCCTCTTTTTCCTATTTGTAGTGGAGATAAGTGGTACCCGGTGGGGTCTTCTGCTGTTGTAGCCCATCCGCCTCAAGGTTGTGCATGTTGTGGCTTCACAAATGCTTTGCTGCATACCTCGGTTGTAACGAGTGGTTATTTCAGTCAAAGTTGCTCTTCTATCAGCTTGAATCAGTCGGCCCATTCTCCTCTGACCTCTTGCATCAACAAGGCATTTTCGCCCACAGGACTGCCGCATACTGTGATATGTTTTTTTCCCTTTTCACACCATTCTTTGTAAACCCTAGAAATGGTTGTGCGTGAAAATCCCAGTAACTGAGCAGATTGTGAAATACTCAGACCGGCCCGTCTGGCACCAACAACCATGCCACGCTCAAAATTGCTTAAATCACCTTTCTTTCCCATTCTGAGATTCAGTTTGGAGTTCAGGAGATTGTCTTGACTAGGACCACACCCCTAAATGCATTGAAGCAACTGCCATGTGATTGGTTGATTAGATAATTGCATTAATGAGAAACTGAACAGGTGTTCCTAATAATCCTTTAGGTGAGTGTATAACTATCAAATATAATTGATCTATAATACAAGCGATAGTTGATATGATACAAATGTATCATGCATCCCTAGAAACTATGATTAGTCTCTTTACCTGTAAAACAGTGGCCAGAATAAGATGTAAAGTGGAGCAGACTTTATGCTAATAGTGTAAGTAGAGTTTTCTTAAAGGACGATTACCTACAAACCAGCCGTCATCACACTTCTCTATAACCTGAACCAGGTCTCCTTCTCTCAACTCCAGCTCGTCTTTATTCTGGGGGTTATAGTTGTAAACCGCTTTATACCTGAATGCAAAGAGAAGGAGTGAATGAAAAAGAATGATATCAGTACAAAATAGCTGGATTTGTGTACAGTTTTTTGCACATATTTGAAGGAACAGTTCGCCCAGAAATTAACATCCTGTCATGTTTTACTCAGCAAACCTTATGACTTTCTTTCACAACGTTGGTGAGTAAATAACAAGGAAATTGACTTAATTCTCCCTTTTATCAATCATAAATGTAAATGATATATCTATGTCTGCTTGAATTAGGTCAGAAGTAGTGAATAATGTACTCACAGTTGTCGTGAATAACCCTTGTTCACAGGAGACCGTGACGTGGAGGGAATCTTAACCTGTGCGTTGGGCTGTGGAGATTGTGTTCTGGTCCCATCCTAAAAATCATTGTAAAAATTTAGTTTTGTTTTACTAGAAAATATCTGTTTTCTATTTGAATATATTCTAAAAACAAATGTATTCCTGTGATGGAAAAGCTGAATATTCAACTCTTCAGTGTCACATGATCCTTCCTTCTAATATGCTGATTTGATGCTAAAGAAAGATTTCTTATTATTATACAGCCTGTAATTAATAATGTTATGCAGCACGCGCAGCGATAACGCCGAGTTAACAAACAAAGTCTTTATTCCAAGTAATAAATACGCAGGAGATATCCAGGGAAACACAGGCAAAAACACAAACCACATAAACTGAAACAAGGGACTGAACAAAACAGGGGGCTTACATACAAGACGAACAATAACTGACAGGTGATAATTATACATAATCATAGAAACAAACGAGGAGATAATCAATAAACTGAATGGAGCAGAGAAACAAAAACTAAAAACAGAATAAAAAAATTCCAAACCGTGACACAGCCCTGATTTCCATAATATTACAAATAAGGTGATATAGCCTAATAATACATCATTTAATGAAGCTGAGTACAAAAATATCAACAAAACTTTCCATCACAAAACTTTACACAAAAGATTTTTCAAATTATATGTATCAGCTTTAATGCACTTATCAAAATATCAAAAGCAGTCAAATGTCAAAAGTTTAATGACAAAAAGAAGTAGGCTACCCAAAAAGTCCCCCTGTGGTGAAAATCAATTTAATATTGTTTGTATGTCTACAGTATGTGGTGTTTTTAATATGCTTTAAGACAAACCATGTGAAAAAAAAATAAAACAGCACCATTGCTGAGTATTTTCTCCTTAAAACTGTAGTAAACCAAAGGCAATCTCAAAAACGCGTGTGATCGTCAACGAGTGGATCTCTGAGCTGGTGTGAGTGAGTGGAGGCGGGGATAATTTGCATATTCATAGAACCACGTATACTAAATGAGGCAAGGGTGTAGAGTTACATTTAAGCTATTTTAAGGCATGAAGAATTTTTTTTCAAAGAAAAAAAATTAAATGTGTCATTGATTTTGGTGATCAAAGATGAGTTTTAAGAGATAATAATAATTGATCATTATAATTATTGACTACAGGGGGACTTTATCTTTTTACAATCTGCAATGAAAAAATAAGCTCTAATACCCATTTAATGTCAAAGAACTTTACATAAACACAAGTTTATAAATACGATTTTTTTTTTCTCACAAAATCTATAATTTCCTGTCACTGTTTGGATGTAGTAAAATACCCAGAGATGTAGTAGAACATTTCTGGGACCAACCATGTCACTGGCCATAATTCTAAACATTGAGATCAGGATTAGGCATAAAATAATGTCACAGTCTACATGTAAAAATCGGCTGAGAATTGAACAAACAGATGGGACCTGTCTCAGTGGAAGACAGGAATCATGTTTTTGTAATTAAGGGATAATACAAGAGTCCTTCACCTTACAAATTGTTGTCGAAAGCAAAAATGCTATGAAATGCACATCATATTTTGCGAGAAAGTGTGACATTCTAGCAAAGCAAGTTGTGCTGCTTAAAGGTGCAGTGAGTGATTGCGGAGAAACACTGTAAATCAACACCCAAACAAACCCAAGCAAAAAAATATAGGGGGTGTATCTGCTCATGATGGAGAGAAAGTGAGAGAGCGGGATATTTGTGGAAAGAGAGATGGCTGAGATATTACCACAGAAGACAATGTCAGAGGAATATAATTGGGAAAGGAAGGGTTACGATCAGGCAAGAGCTAGGACCAGTGTTAATATTGGAAAAGCTTTCCAGCGCTGGAGCGACATTAGCAGAAAGGTTGCTTTGTTTCTGTTCGACGCTAGAGTAACATTGGCTGTTTCTAATTATGCGTTCTCATACTATGTCATCATCAACCGTCCAAGTTCAATTCCAATTCTCAAGAACGCAAGTACAGAGGACGCATGAAAGTGCCCAGATGATTCGAAATCCCAGAAGACGCTACGGGCGGGCGAAGTACGGAAGCCTGTAAGCTTTAAACATCTTGTTCTCACTTAAGTGATTCCCCATTCCCGTTGCAAGCTCCCAAATACGTGACGGCTCGTGAAAGTACATTTGTCCGTTTGTTTTGCTTCATTTTAATAAAGTGATAACCTGAAGAAAGCCTGCAGTAGTTTTATTGGCATAATAAAAACGAATCTTACAATGCATAGGTTAGCCTACACATAGACTACTTATTTTCATAAATACACGTGGTAAAATAAAAAAGATATAAAATGATATGCAAACAATGTCTATAGTAATATGAAAGAAATGTTTTATTAGGTTATGACACTTGTTTGTGATGTTATGTTGGATGTATTGTGCATTAGCTGCTACTTATAATATGCTGGGACGGTCATTTGAGCAGCAAGATCGCAGCACATCTCAATTCTCACAAAGATGCGTTCTGTGTCCTCGCGTCCTACTGAGTTCGTTCTTTCAAGGTCGCCTAGCAAGACCAGTATCCAGGAGAACACAAGCCCGTTCTTTGCTTTCTTGAAATTGAGAAACAGCTATTGGTTATTTTTCTGTTTCACAGAACCGAGATAATATGCTTTTGTTGTTGTTGAATCACAGCATATTTGCGTGAGATGTCTGATGTTAGTCGTTGCTTGTGTTGCATGGTGTGTTTGTTATTTTGGGAGCAGAGAAATGAAGGGAGGGGTTTGTTTGGGTGTCAATTTCATATATCAACTGTGTTTCTTATTGGATTAATAACTTTTTTTTAGGATTTTAGGGCTGGGCAACGATTAATCGCGATTAATCGCATCCAAAAAAGTTTGTGTTTACATAATATATGTGTGTATAATTATTTTGTATATATAAATACACACACATGCATGTATATATTTAAGAAAAATGTGTTGTTAATATATCAAATATTTATATTTATATATATTAATTATGTATAAATATATATAAAGTATATACATGCAAATATTTCTTAAATATATACATGCATGTGTGTGTATTTATATATACAAAATAATTATACACACACATATAATATGTAAACACAAACTTTTATTTTGGATGCGATTAATCTCGATTAATCGTTGCCCAGCCCTAATTTTTTGATGTAACATAAGTGTCTTTACTGACACTTTTGATCAAGTTCATGCATACTTATTGTATTGTACATTGGCCACATTATTTACCACAATACAAAATATTTACTAAAAAAAACATCGGTAACACTTCACAATACGGTTAATTAGTTAACATTAGTTAATGTATTAACTAACATGAACTAACAATGAGCAATACATTTGTTACTGTATTAGTTAATCTTTGTTCATGTTAGAAATACAGCTGTTCGTTGTTTGTTCATGTTAGTTCACAGTGCATTAACTAATGTTAACAAATACAACCTTTGATTTTAATAATGTATTAGTATGTTGAAATTAATATTAACTTAGATTAACAAATGCTGTAGAAGTATTGTTCATTCTTAGTTCATGTTAACTAAGGTAGTAAACTACTGTTAACTAATTAACCTTATTGTAAAGTGTTACCAAAACATCTGCCTGGCTGACACTGAAGTTCATACATGTAAATACTATAGTATTGTTTCTCTGCACAAACCTGTGTGATGTACGGAGGGTGCGCTGGCATTGCGCCGGTGTTCGCTGGCAGTCCCGGGCCCTGCGGAGATGTCAGCACATGATTGGAGGGTGACACAGGTGATCTGGTGTCCTTTTCCAGTGGGTTGTGAGAGTGCAGCAATCCCGTCCAGTTGTTGCTGGGTGAAGTGGGCCCAGGCGAGAACAAAAAGTGGTTTGATGGTTTTGGGGAGATGGGCTGTGCGTGTGACAGAGGGGAGCGTGATTGGCTGGAGTGTTTGTGAGGTGAAAGCTGGGGTTCAGGGGAGCGTGACAGGGGAGACAGGGGGGAGTGCTGTGGCCGGCCGGGACTGAGGGGCTCTGGGGTAGGAGTTGGAGAAGATGGAAAGTCATCACTGCTTTTAGTGCGGGGCATTTTGTTGACCTGGACGTAGCTGATGGGGAAGATTCCACTTCGGGTGGTGCCAGCGATACGACCCTCCAGCCAGTGATCATCAACACGCCTGACGATTGAGATAATCTCGCCCTGAGACAGAGACACCGAACAGAACAAGAGAGAAGAAAGCTGTTGAAGCTGTTTGAATGTGAAATATCATCGCTCATTACACAGTTCTTTGGAATACTTGACTCTGATTGGTCATTTGCAGCGTTCTGTGGTTGGATATTTGGGTATAATGGTGAAACGGTATAATTTACTATGATTGACTGTAATTGTTCCAAGCAACCATTTTCTGTACATAGCTGTGCTAGTTAGGGCTGGAAGTCGATCACAAAGACTTGATTTACATGTCTGAACATGACATGATTAAGATTCATTACCCCAAACTTAAGCCTTAAAGCAGTGGTTCTCAGCCTTCTTGACTCCAAGGCCCCCCAAGCTGTTCATGATTTACTGGAAAGGGATTTTAATATTTCAATTTGATTGATGTTATATATATATATATATATATATATATATATATATATATATATATATATTTTTTTAGGCTAATAATTAGGCTATTTCATATATTCAGGTTTTCAAGACAGTGGGAAAAAACACTGGTTGAGGGTGTTAATTAAAGAAAGAAATATGTTATATTTTTAATGTTCATTTTGTCATCTTGAGGTCACCCTTGAATGTTGCCGAGACCCCTAGTGGGCCCTGGACCACTGTTTGACCCTCTGGTGCTTTTCGGTCTTTTTTTTTCTTTTCTTTTTTTTTGTATAGGTTTTGGCACTTACTATGTGAACACAAAAAAAAAATCATGGACATGATTCAAATGGTAAATTGTCCTGAAAAAAATAGTCACACCTGTTACTCCTTGCAGTCAAAAATTACTCATTGGAAATGAATGGGAGACAAATTTCATCTAGTGAAAACTTTTGGTGCTGTGCCCAACAAAATCTTACTGAAAGCTCATTTTTTGAGATATCAATTTCGAATTTGGAACACAACTTGTTTAGATTTATTGCTTTGATTTTCTGTGCAGATTTTGAGTAAAATGTGTTTTTGAGAATATATATTCATATTATATTCATATACACTCACCGGCCACTTTATTAGGTACCCCATGCTAGTAACGGGTTGGACCCCCTTTTGCCATCAGAACTGCCTCAATTCTTCGTGGCATAGATTCAACAAGGTGCTGGAAGCATTCCTCAGGGAGTTTGGTCCATATTGACATGATGGCATCACACAGTTGCCGCAGATTTGTCGGCTGCACATCCATGATGCGAATCTCCCGTTCCACCACATCCCAAAGATGCTCTATTGGGTTGAGATCTGGTGACTGTGGAGGCCATTTTAGTACAGTGAACTCATTGTCATGTTCAAGAAACCAATTTGAAATGATTAGAGCTTTGTGACATGGTGGAAGTAGCCATCAGAGGATGGGTACATGGTGGCCATAAAGGGATGGACATGGTCAGAAACAATGCTCAGGTAGGCCGTGGCATTTAAACGATGCCCAATTGGCACTAAGGGGCCTAAAGTGTGCCAGGAAAACATCCCCCACACCATTACACCACCACCACCAGCCTGCACAGTGGTAACAAGGCATGATGGTTCCATGTTCTCATTCTGTTTACGCCAAATTCTGACTCTAACATCTGAATGTCTCAACAGAAATCGAGACTCATCAGACCAGGCAACATTTTTCCAGTCTTCAACTGTTCAATTTTGGTGAGCTCTTGCAAATTGTAGCCTCTTTTTCCTATTTGTAGTGGAGATGAGTGGTACCCGGTGGAGTCTTCTGCTGTTGTAGCCCATCCGCCTCAAGGTTGTGCGTGTTGTGGCTTCACAAATGCTTTGCTGCATACCTCGGTTGTAACGAGTGGTTATTTCAGTCACTGTTGCCCTTCTATCAGCTCGAACCAGTCTGGCCATTCTCCTCTGACCTCTGGCATCAACAAGGCATTTCCGCCCACAGAACTGCCGCTCACTGGATGTTTTTTCTTTTTCGGACCATTCTCTGTAAACCCTAGAGATGGTTGTGCGTGAAAATCCCAGTAGATTAGCAGTTTCTGAAATACTCAGACCAGCCCTTCTGGCACCAACAATCATGCCACGTTCAAAGTCACTCAAATCAACTTTCTTCCCCATACTGATGCTCGGTTTGAACTGCAGGAGATTGTCTTGACCATGTCTACATGCCTAAATGCACTGAGTTGCCGCCATGTGATTGGCTGCTTAGAAATTAAGTGTTAACGAGCAGTTGGACAGGTGTACCTAATAAAGTGGCCGGTGAGTGTATATTATATTTCATATAAAAATTGAAAATAGTATTTTTGTGCATTTTTATATTTTTATAATAAACATAAAATTCAAACTTTTTTTAAAGTAACACCAGGTTACTTTTGCTCTCGGGGTGGGGTCCCCCTACAGTTGGGAAACAGTATTGTCCTCTAGACCTCTACTACTGTCGTAAACTCTGTCATCCTACATGCACGTGCAATTGTTGACAACCATGATAGCCCTGAACACTGTAGGAGGAGGTCACATGCAGGTGTTCTGCTTGCGTTGCGTGTGAAATGTCTTCATCCCAGGTACAGTGGCATATACTTCAGCATGTCATATGAATATAATTTCATGGGTTTTATTTTTTTTCTAACGACAAATGATCGCGATGATCACGTTTACAAGCCAGCGTCATTATAGTAGCCTAGTCTATTGGTTACCGTTTTACTGGATCTATATGATACTTCAATGCAATGTTTGAGTGGTAGATAATAACCATATATCGTCAATATTATAATATCAAGCTACCATAAATGAATCTGCAAATTTTACAAATCGATTTGCATTATAGCTTGAGGCAAGACAAATAAACAAATATCACAGACATGTTAGGTATCCTAAAATATGATTTTGTACATCTTATACACTCACCGGCCACTTTATTAGGTACCCCATGCTAGTAACGGGTTGGACCCCCTTTTGCCTTCAGAACTGCCTCAATTCTTCGTGGCATAGATTCAACAAGGTGCTGGAAGCATTCCTCAGGGAGTTTGGTCCATATTGACATGATGGCATCACACAGTTGCCGCAGATTTGTCGGCTGCACATCCATGATGCGAATCTCCCGTTCCACCACATCCCAAAGATGCTCTATTGGGTTGAGATCTGGTGACTGTGGAGGCCATTTTAGTACAGTGAACTCATTGTCATGTTCAAGAAACCAATTTGAAATGATTAGAGCTTTGTGACATGGTGGAAGTAGCCATCAGAGGATGGGTACATGGTGGCCATAAAGGGATGGACATGGTCAGAAACAATGCTCAGGTAGGCCGTGGCATTTAAACGATGCCCAATTGGCACTAAGGGGCCTAAAGTGTGCCAGGAAAACATCCCCCACACCATTAGACCACCACCACCAGCCTGCACAGTGGTAACAAGGCATGATGGTTCCATGTTCTCATTCTGTTTACGCCAAATTCTGACTCTAACATCTGAATGTCTCAACAGAAATCGAGACTCATCAGACCAGGCAACATTTTTCCAGTCTTCAACTGTTCAATTTTTGTGAGCTCTTGCAAATTGTAGCCTCTTTTTCCTATTTGTAGTGGAGATGAGTGGTACCCGGTGGAGTCTTCTGCTGTTGTAGCCCATCCGCCTCAAGGTTGTGCGTGTTGTGGCTTCACAAATGCTTTGCTGCATACCTCGGTTGTAACGAGTGGTTATTTCAGTCACTGTTGCCCTTCTATCAGCTCGAACCAGTCTGGCCATTCTCCTCTGACCTCTGGCATCAACAAGGCATTTCCGCCCACAGAACTGCCGCTCACTGGATGTTTTTTCTTTTTCGGACCATTCTCTGTAAACCCTAGAGATGGTTGTGCGTGAAAATCCCAGTAGATTAGCAGTTTCTGAAATACTCAGACCAGCCCTTCTGGCACCAACAATCATGCCACGTTCAAAGTCACTCAAATCACCTTTCTTCCCCATACTGATGCTCGGTTTGAACTGCAGGAGATTGTCTTGACCATGTCTACATGCCTAAATGCACTGAGTTGCCACCATGTGATTGGCTGCTTAGAAATTAAGTGTTAACGAGCAGTTGGACAGGTGTACCTAATAAAGTGGCCGGTGAGTGTATATTTACTTGCAAGAATGTAGCCCCTACCAAACTTGTGCACGCCGTTTAGACATAGGCTTTGATTTGATTTTTTTTTTTTTTTTTGCCAAGTCCGCATCGGTCGGGCACCCCTCCTTCTCCTTCAACTCACGCCAGCGAGAAAATGCTGGCCCAATGTTGATCCTCGTTCTGCCTTTAACGCGATCACTTTCTCTTTTTCTCTTTTTGCTTTGCTCCGATAAAACCTTTGCTTTCTTGTTTTTCTGTGCTGCTTCGGCCATGACTATAACATTTGGCTCGCACGTCCGATTTTAAGGAAGTGGGGGTGGTGGTGGAAGTGACGTATATGCCGTAAAGCAGTCGAATTTTGTAGTTCTCTTTGTTCGCCGGTTACTACCCGAAACCCAAAGTTTAAAAGTACGATTAAAAACGCTACAGACCCCGTCAGGCTATGGCAGACCGTGTCATTCAACCTATTGTAAGTCGATGTACCATCACAAGAGACGTGGAAGTATATTATGAAGGTTGAAAAGTTACCTGGTGTTACTTTAAGTTCACGTTATTAAACTTTTTTCACCAACAATAATTTGTCAAGTGTCGTCTTTAAAAAGAGATCAAACTCAAGTCTGTGCTCTAAAGCGTTCAAGATTTACGACAGTTTAAGTTGGAAATAACAATTTTAGGTCTATGCTCAAAAAGTGAATAAATGGATTATAAATACAGCGTAAATATAATTCAGTACCACAAAATCCCCTAAAAATACAAAATATTAAAATAAAATATATTATTGAACTAAAATATACTAAAATATAGTACATTCATTTCATAAAAAAAAAAAAAAAAAATCTGTCATTTTGGACCGACACGTGAAGAGCACCAGAGGGTTAAGAACCACTGCCTTAAAGGGATATTCACTGTAATAAAAATTGTCACCATTTACTCAGCCTCATGTCTCCAAACCTGTACGGGCAGGGCGAACTATCCCTTCAACATCTAGCAATTGGGATTTTGATTCATTACAGTGATTCAAGTTAATTACAGTTGATTCAAATACAGATTTGTTCATGATAAGATAAGAGATGATAAGAGATAAGTGAACACAAGAGCATGATTAAAGGCAATGAAAGGTCACAAAATGTTTATACATTTCAAACCAGCTGCAAATGCTATTAATAAGGTTTCCACGGCTCACTTAAGAACCGAGAAAATGAGTCTGCAGTAAAATATTTCATGATAATGAACTGTACATAATAAATTAGTTGTAGTGTATGGTAGAGTGTGTGATATTTATGGCACCTTTCTGAAGGACAGTTCCACAGGCAGGTCGGCATTGAAGTTGAACAGAGCAACAGCCTCTCCATACTCCAACACCTGGATGGTAGGAGACTTTATTGGAGTTGGCTTCTCCGTTGGAGGAATAATCTGGAAAGAAAAGATAGGAAGGGATGTTAATGACAAAAGACGACGAGACGCAGAGTTTCATTTGCATACTCATGGACATTGATTTGACTGCACTGACACCATCGAAAGTGAAGTAAACTTCAACTGGATGATGACATCACTGATTTCTACAGAGCTGCTTTATAGCTGAATTGAACTCATTAGTGATGAGCTTTACACAGTTATTGAACTGAACTGAATCAATACTGAACTGACTTCATCTGAAAAATGACACTACTGTCTTTTTCGAGCTGCTTTACATCATTAATCATTGTTTTCCTGTTTATCCCATGTAAAGCTGGTTTGAAATAGTCTGTACTGTATAAAGCACTATATAAATAAAGGTGACTTGACAAACCTCCACATAGCTGGTGGGAAAGATTCCCACTCTCCCATGATGCTCTCCTTCATACCAGTTGGCATCCACCTGTCGGTGTATGTACACGATATCACCTTTTTGTATGGTCAGCTCCCTATGGACGGGGGAAAAGATAGGGTGTGTGATTATAAATGTGGTAAAAATGTATTAAATTAATAATACTGAATAACAAATCAGAGACCTTTATTTAATTTAATTTTTAGTAGCATTTGCCATTTTTATTTATCAGACTTCCCCGTAACCTTCTACCGTATCCAGTTCTGAAACTAATTATGAATAATGGAATCTGTGTTGTGTCTTTTGTTTCTACTTACTTTGGTGACTGTGCTTGGAAACTAAATTTGGCTCGGGCTGCTTTCATCTGTGTAGAAAAAACAGGCGTTCTTTCTCAAAGTCTGTGTCAAATATGTACTTTCCATCCAAACTTCAAGGAAAAAGATCAAACGCTGTACCTTTCTCTCTTCTTTCTTAGGTGGGAAATCCATGTCTGAGGATGTGCAACCTGTAGAGGGAAGAGAACAACAGATATCAGCCCATAATATACCAAAATCAGTAGCAGAATTGTGTCTATTATCCATGTTTGTTTGCAATTATTGGTTGCTTCTTCAACTTTAAGCACTTTTACGTCCCAGGGTGAAGAATGTAATGATCATATGAAGTATTTGCGGCTGATATGCGCCCTGGATGAGCACTTTTGAGCTCCACAACAGACTTTCACCTAACAGTCAAAGCGCCATTACATCACGAAAGTGCGGACTCAGAGGAAGATCATGAGGGCTTAGGGATCCATTTGGGACTTCTTTTTCATCAAAATTAACTTTTTTTTTTGTTGCTAAAGACCATTTCATGGGCCTCCAGCTCTGCACACGTTAATGTGTTTAGAGTGGCCAACTCTTTCTGCATTAATCTCCAGGAAAAACAACTGGAAAAATCTAATCTGCAATCAAGACCTCCATCCTGCTCCTTGTTACACATTTCCTGTCCTGATGAATAGTGATTGACTTCATTTGTTTTCCTCATTTCACAGAAACGTGTTTACTTTGTATTAATTGTGCAAATTGTGCCTTGGGGAACGAGAGGAGAGGAGAAGATTGGCAAGATGTTCAAGGAAATAGGAAATAGAGGACAGGAGGGGATAGGAAGATGACTGTATCTTACCATCAGCATGCATGAAGCTTGCTGTTGTGCCCTGCTTTACAGCTGAGCTGGGGATTATGGGATAGCTGGAAAAGAAAAACAAAATTATCATGTGACACATCTATACCATATAAATGAAGAAGACTGAAGTCAAAAACAGTGAGGTGAAATTTCACATCTAATACACTGACATCATTCCTTAAAAACAATTATTAGTTATTAGTAAGTAAGAACAATATTAAGACCTCTTTCATGTCTCAGATGTTTTGCCTAGACAGCAGAGATTAAATGGAGATAGCTTGGAGACTTTTCTAGAGTCTCCTCAGGTTTTTGCCAAAGAAAGAAACCAATAATCTCAGGGGTGTCTCAAAATGTGCTCAAATTTGCCATGCAAGACACCAAAATCTGCAATCGAGATGAACATGAACTCCAACATTTTTCATCAAAAACTCTCAAGACCAAACAATTTAAGCTATTCACATTCATTTTAAAGCACTATATTCCTATCTTAAATTAATAAATGGAGACAACACTGATACACAAATGAACAACACAGATCTCAGTCTCCTGAGCTTTGAAAAAACAACCTTCCTCGGAGTTGCATAGGAGACTCAAGGAAGACAGGAAGAATTCCATAAAACACAACAGATAGTCTGTCTCAGCTATGAGGATCCAGTTTGAATTATGGAAATATTTATGAATATGTGACAGACCTGAGAGATGTAACTAATGGTAGAGGTTTCTGCTGCTCTAAACATCTTTAAAATATAATACGGTGCAAGAAAACACTGTATATATAAAATATTACGGGTTTTTTTATCCCATGTATCCCAAATAGTTTTACTAATTTTAAGCATAAACATCATACGTTTGCTCAAATAAATGTGACTTTTTAACAATATTTCTACATATTACTGATTTTTTTTCTCTTGTGGCGATGAATGTTTGACAATGAACTGTATAATGCGTTATATCAACAAAATATGTTGATGAAATGGCAGCATAACGATTCTTGAACACAACAACCAGTTAACAGGTTTTCAGCCCCAGGGTTGATAATCATTCCAGAAAAAGGGAAGCTGTAAAACTGTCCTCATTCTGTATCCTTTTTGTAGCATTTATGGCATTTTGAGGGTGGGGAGGTAGTCAGCAGGGGGCTGAAGGGGGCAGAAAACATCAACATGCCACAGAAAAACAGAGGGAGAACTCAAGAATGTGTCAGATCCAGTGAGATATGGGCCCCTGGCGAGCAAATACTGAACCTTAAGGTGTCAGAATGGGCATGAACATCTGAAGTATAGGCCTGGAGGGACCTAACTTTGCCTTTTATAGCTCTGCTGTGTCAATGCACATAAAGAGGGGGATAACTGCATGTGGAGCAGCGATGCGGGCAGAAAAACTGTGGACATCTAAACTGTGTCTAATACAGTTTAAGAACTAATACTGTACCACTTTATTAACAGGATGAACAAGGTCAAGCATGTGAGTAAAGACTGAGACATCCTCAATTTTAATGCCACACACTCTTAGACACTCTCGCAAATACACAAACACATGTACAGGCACACAAAGAGCTCAGCATGGGGTCGGGTATGTGGGCCGACGGCCAAAGAGTCAACAATTAACCAATCAGACGAGGAGACAGGCCGGGCATGTCATATGACCTTAATAAGAGAGTGAAAACAACAGGGAAATCTGCTGCATTTGTCAAACTGTATTATAATTAATTAGACAGACGCATTATCAGATATTATTTCTACAAAACATTCCAAAGACGAAACGTGTAATTCTGGCCTTGTCAAAAGATTGAACTACTTCATCCCACCTGTTCACATAATATTGTAATATAATGGAACATATAAGACATATACAGAGAAATTATGTTTACATATACAGGATAATTATATTATATTATATTATATTATATTATATTATATTATATTGTATTATATTATATGACTTCAAACATTACTTACATTTACATGACTTAAAAGCCATTTATGGCCATAACATATATGAAACTATACTATAACTATACACTAAGACTGAACCTATCCTAAGAGTGAATTTTTATTAAAAACAAGTTTTTTTTTTATTAAAAAAGTTTATGTATGAGGTTTTGTTATATTTTGCTGATTTTTCGGACCAGATTTTCCCCAAAGTATAAGTAAACGCAGAGACTTACCTGTTTTCTTGTCTGTTCTCTTCTGTTCTTGTGGCTGCTGTGTTGGCTTTAGCTCCCTGAAAATAGAAATCACTATTTCATTCACCTCTAACACACATGAACTCTCCTAAAGACACAGTTCAACAGGAGTATTTGGGAGCAGCTCGAAAGCAATCTCAAGAGGCGGTGACCATTCCTGAACAGAGAGCTACACTTCTCCCCTGGGTCCTACACTCCATATATTTAGGTTGCAATTGTAAATTAGAGGTCTGGGTTCGGGTTAATGTTTCATAAATAGCTTCGGATTCGGGTTTGTGACAAAAGAAAAACTCTATCTATCTGTCCATCTATCTATCCATCAATATATATATATATATATATATATATATATATATATGTGTGTGTGTGTGTGTGTGTGTATAGATAGATATATTTATTTGACTGCTGAGGGGGCCACTGTGTCTTGATGAAACTGTGTTTGTTTATAATATAATATTGTATAGTATTTGTTTACTGATCGTTGCATGCAATCCTAAAATACAGCATACCGGTATTATAAAAAGGTATTTGCTGTGAGAAAAGGACTTCGGGTTCCAGCTTAAAATGTAACCGTACAGGTCAGGTCGGGTGGGGATAAACGCTCTCGGGTAAGGGCCGGGTTCGAGTTTCAGTTTAAAGCCTGTGCAGACCTCTATTGTAAATCTGAATCAGATGGAACTGGTGATGTGAGGTCATCAGCTAAGATTTCCACAGTTTGCAATTCACAAGCACATGGGGAATCATAAAGCCTTAAACAATTAAAGGTGCCGAATTCGTTGAGCCAAAAGCTCATTTTAGATTAAATTAATTGTTTTTCACATAAAATCTATGGACTTATATTTTGTTATTTTTGAAGCTGTAACTGATTCAGTGTTGTTTAATTTGTATTGTATGATATAGAGAAGTCTATTAATATTGTCTAATATACTGTATGTCTTTGTTAATTTATGTATCTTTATTAGTGCTGAGCAACGATTAATCTCATCCAAAATAAAATTTTGTGTTTACATAATATACAGTATGTGTGTGTGCTAATTATTTTGTATATATAAATACACACATATGCATGTATACATTTAAGAAACATATACTGTATATATATATTTATACATAATGTATATTATATATAAATATAAATATTTTATATATAAATAACAATTTTTTCTTAAATATAGACATGCATGTGTGTATTTATATATATAAAGTACACAGTACACACATATATTATGTAAACACAAACTTTTATTTTGGATGCGATTAATCGTTGCCCAGCACTAATTTTTATTTTATTTATATGTGTGTGTGTGTGGAAAGAAATGAAGGACAGTTGATGACAGATTTTTCTTTTTGGGTGAACTGTCTCTTTAAGAATCACAGAAACAGAGTCATGGCAAGAAAAGGATCAAATAAACACGGCTGGGATTTAAAGAGCAGACATTGTGCAGGCTGGCGTGATTCAAAGGCAAGATCAGCAGTGGGCGGCTGCAGACTTTGTCTGTTCAGCATGACAGGAAGTGATAGAGAGGATCAGCATGCACAGCTGTCAGAGTAGGGCCTACATCCAGCGACCTGAAGCACACTGGCAGGAAGGTAACAACAGCAGTGGCCAGAAACAGAAAAAGCCTTTGACTTTCTTTTCTTTTTTTTATTTGGCACAACAAGTACGAGATTAAGACTAATACCTTGTCTGAAGGGTACAGGAATTTTTAAGAAATCGGTGAGGTCATAATGGATGACTAAAGTCTGACTAGAAGTCCAAAAGATTTAAAAACCATTTAGAGAGATTGATACAGCACGCCAAATACAACTTCTCAAATGATCTCCATGTCTTATCTAACTGCAGTGTCTGTTTTTCTTTGACGCTCGCTCTCTAAACCTTTGAGAAAGGGTATTTGAAATGAACAGGCCACAAACCACAAGAAGTTGAACTGAAATTTAAATTGGAATGACAGGAAAATTGTTTGGCTGTACTTTTTAGAATTATATATATGTGTAGAATGGAGAGTCAGTACCTCACCCCTGCCTCGCCGCTGCTGCTTCTGTGACAGTTTCCTCTCCAGACCACGAATGTCTGAGTCCAGCTCTGCCTCAAAGCGGTTCAGCTCCGACACCAGTGTCGCCTGGACAACAGCATGACAACCAGTTCACACACGGCATATGCATTTTTATGTAAAACTATTGGTGTGGTATTTATATTTTATGTAAAACTATTGGTGTAACACACAAATCTAAATGTAATCTGGGACTGCATGTGATTTCATGGTAGTTGAACTTTGACAGTGTAAAAATCACAAGGTATTTAGCGATAAAGAGCGTCTCCAGTATTTGCAGAAGAGAATGGCACAAAAGGAATAGCCTTCATTTATTCAGATTATGCTGAGTACACAGGAATAGTCCAACAGCATGAACATATTTTCTTCAGAATAAAGACTTTAATCAGAAAATGATGGGCATGTATGTAAATTGTAACAAATGTACATCTAAAAATGACCATATTAACAGTATTACATTTATTTGTAATAGATTCACTATTAATATAATAACAACAGAAAGCGAGATGTGTTGCGATTGACGTCTGATGTAGAAGTGCAGACACTCACCTCTATAGATGGAGATCTGGGTTGAGGTTTACCCGGGGTGTGATATAAAGGCAGCTGTGACGCAGACCTCAGAGACTAAAAACAAATCAAATACCAACTGAGAATACAACATCATACAATGTAATTAAGCCACATTTAGACAAATGTAATTGTTACCTAAAGAGCAGAATTGAATGGCAGCTCACAACCTTACTAAAGCCAAGTCAGGCATCCAGAACACCATAAGACATAAGTAATGCATCTTTCAAATATGTTAAAGTCCCCCTGTAGTCAATAATTGTATCCCTTAAAACGAATATTTGATCACCAAAATGACATATTTAAAAAAAGAAAACCTCATTTAGAATATGCGGTTCAATGAATATGTAAATAAGCCCCGCCTCCACTCACTCACACCAGCTGAGAGATCCACTCGTTGATGATCACACCTTGATGTGATTGGTTACATGGTAGTTTGTGACGTCAGAAACACCAGCGATTTCAAACGGCGTTTTTGAGATTGTCTTTGGTTCACTGCAGTTTTAGGGAGAAAATACTCAGCAATGGTGCTGACTTATGAATTTGCACATGGTTTGTCTTAAAGGATATTAAAGGGTTAGTTCACCCAAAAATGAAAATTCTGTCAGTAATTACTCACCCTCATGTTGTTCCAACCCCGAAAGTCTTTCGTTCATCTTCGGAACACAAATTAAGATATTTTTGATTAAATCTGAGAGCTGGATCACTCCTCCATAGGCTTCTTAAGGGATCGAAACTGGCCGGCCCAAAAGTTATGAAAGACATTGTTAAAGCTGCAGTCCGTAGCTTTTTTAAGTTAAAAATAATCCAAAATAATTATATAAAAAAAAACTTATTCTGCCAGTGGTCAAAACTATCTGCTTGCCATAGCTAGATTCAAAACGGTTAGCTTGTAATAATGATTTTAACTCCAGTGGTACTGGTGGGTTTCTGCGGGAAATTCGAGCATGTCTTTGCGTCATTACGTCACACCCGTACACATAAAGAAGGAGTTCGGCTAGCCGGCTATACTGCGCGTGACGAGATGTTTAGATGTATAGGCTTTTCTCGCAGCACTTTACATAATTAAACTTATGGCATCCAGAAAGATCCAAACAACAATCATCAGTGTCAACTGGAGATTCAGCAGTTATAAAACCCAAAAGACTTCGTACTTCGGATTTAAGGTGGCTAGAGAAAGAGAAAGAAACCGTCTCATGCGAACACAAGGATTTAAACATCGGCGGGGCTTTTGAAAAGTGCGTGAACTCCGTGTTTTGAAGGGGTTTAAAACGGAAGAAGAGACGGCTTTTTTCTGCTGAACAAGTAAGACATTTCAATAGTTCAATCGTGTAACAGTACGTTTTCTTAATTCACACAGTTATGGAGTTTCCTTTGTTGTGCCTTTCTCGTTTTGCTATTATGGAGAATATGAATTCTGAACTACACAGGTAACCATAAAACACATTAAATTTAACATTAGTCACGCAATGCTGATGTGATGTTGTTAACATGAACAATTTGAGAACAAAGTAGGCTATAATTTGCACGGTTGCTGTAAATCGCGTTGATTAAATCTAACGAAGCTTATCATGTCGAATGCTTTTTCCCCCTTAGTTGGTCAGAACAAAAATGGATTTTACTTACTTGTTCAGAAGACATTTTCTTATGAAAATTCTTATGTTGGTCAAACTTTCAAAAAGTGAATCTGTGATTCTGTATGACAGTATCCACACAGCGCGGTGACTGACAGCAGCACTCGCCTCAAAGCACTGTGTTCATCCGCGCTGTTTCATGCCGATTTACAACCCACGTAAAGATAATAATTCCGCGAATCACTGCAGTTACAGATTTCGAACAGAGAGATGGCGACAAAGAGGAAAAGCTACGGACTGTAGCTTTAAAATAGTCCGAATGACTACAGTGGCTTAATCTTAAGTTTATCAAGCGACGAGAATACTTCTTGTGCGCAAAAAAACAAAGAAAAATAACGACTTTATTCAACTATTCATTTTCTTCTCTGTGGGCCGTGATATTTCACGTAGTGAAACTACGCAAAGCTTCTAGGTTGCACGTCACACGTAGGCTCACTATTGGCCGACGCTGGTCATGTGTGTGATGCAACCTAGAAGCTTTGCGTAGTTTCACTACGTGAAATATCACGGCCGTACAGAGAAGGAAATGAATAGTTGAATAAAGTTGTTTTTTTTTTGACAGAATTTTCATTTTTGGGTGAACTAACCGTTTAAAAACACCACATAGACATATAAACATTGTTGGATTTTCAACACAGGGGGACTTTCACAAAGCAAAGCTGTCTTTAGTGGATGAGATGATAGCTGTCACATTAAGGCAAATGAGGGAAAACAGCACTTGGTGCTTTTAAATCACACAAGCGGTTAACAGGTTTAATACGAATCACAAGACAGCCCTCCTTCACACAGCTCCACAACTGGAGATGAAACAATAGATTCTTTTATTCTCTTATTCACACAAAGCCAGACATAAAGTCAGTCATAAACAATCAGGATTCCTGACAAACATCTTAATCTGAGAATTGAATAATCCCAATTCTCTCATGACACCACTTATAGGCCTCTGTGAAAAGTTTTGAGAGTGAATGTAATCAAGACTGAGGTCTCCAGATATTTCAAATGTACATTACTACACTACAAACTAAAAAGGTCGTTTGTTTACAGTAACAAATGACTTTGTAACCGGCTACAGTGTTATATTATCCTGACATTAAAAAGGAGTTATATATCGTACATTTATAACTGGAAGCTGGAAGACGACATCACTGTTTTTATGCAGATTAAATGAACTAATTTAATAATTGATGATATTTACAACAGAAATGATTCAACACTAACTGACTTCAGCTGAACAATGACACTATTTTCTTTTAGACCGAAATGAACTCTGTTTGCACCATTGAATCATGTTCCTGTTGTTACTGTTTGCTTTGAAACAATCTGTATTGTATGCTATATAAATAAAGGTGACTTGACTTCATTTATTGTGTTTATGCATTTTGAGGAATATAAAAAAAATCTATATATTTTTGTGCAAGGGGAACACATGGATAGCACTGTTATAGAGATCCAGTGCTTTATGCACTACTGTAAGTCCAATAAATTGGCAACTTTAATTGTGTGATTCTGCTCATTATCATCAGGTGTCTTCAATAATCAAACAATCATCACTCAATTAATCACTTAATTACCTAATTAACTCTAACACTGCTTCTGTGTTACTTTAACACCCACAACACCGGTATTTCGGTACAGATGTGTGAATGGAATCTTACCTGTAACTAGACGGAAGGCTTGTGTGAACAGCGCATGTATTTACCGGGAAAGTAATTCTGGTCATTTTTACGGTAATATACCAGGATTGCTTCTTGAAAGGGGCAATTGATACAGTTTGTCTTTTTTGAATGCCTTTGGGAAAGCTGTCATCATCTCCTCTGCCCAGCAAGACAGTCGCAACTACTGTACTTTCCCCAGCACCTTCTCACCCTTTCCCCTCACTTCTAGCGTTCAGTCAAACCCACTCACAAATGCCAACGGACAGTAACAAAAAAGGCATTCAACAGACACAATAATGCTTTGGACGAACTGGCAAACTAAAAAAATCAGGATGCTTTTTCCAAGAAATCATTATAATACACAGACCCCCCCGTCTTTTTGCCTCTTTAAATGACAATATTTCTTGTTAAACTGCATTAATGCTCAGGTTATGGTGGATGACTGTGGTCTCTTACCTTGTTCCGATCTTCTACCGCTTCTCCCTTTCCAGGCTCAAAGTCAAAAATACTCTTTGGTTCTGGGTGCTTCCCTGTATCGCCCAGATCAGCCCTGTAACAAAACCCCATACACGCACACACACATGCACACACACACAATCATTGTTGGTTCTTGCAGCAACAGATTCTAACCTGCCCAGTGTCTCTGTAACTTCTCTCTCTCTCTCTCTCTCTCTCTCTCTCTCTCTCTCTCTCTCTCTCTCTCTCTCTCTCTCTCTCTCTCTCTCTCTCTCTCTCTCTCTCTCTCTCTCTCTCTCTCTCTCACCAGTCAGGCAGGGCTCCATGAGGGGTGAGAGTGAAGGGGTCTGAGCGCCCGTCCTGCTGGGCAGAATCTGGGGGAGGCGATGATGATGACAGCTTCCCTGCAGGCATTAAAAAAATGCATATCAATGAGAGCTTATAGATATTTCACACTTTTATTCAATTTGAGAATACTGTCTTTATCCGAATACATCAAACAGAATGCTTTAACATTTTTATTAGACACAAATAAGTGTAAAACACTGCAGCACAATTCAGATTTCTGTCTGGCTGAGTTACAGAATACAGAGCCCAGGAAATAAGGAGAATGTTTAAACTTACTTTCTCTCCAGTCAAGCTCAGGCTCTACAGGAGTAAAACATACAAAATTAAATTAGAAGAAATTAAACTATGGTTATGAGCCGATATTTTTATTTTTATAATGTAGTAGTATTCTATTATATTAAATTTGATATTAAAAATAGTGAAGGCTCATTTTTCCCTATTTCTACATTTAAATTAGCGTTGATGTCATTTTACACTCAAAGTTAATCTTTACAAACCACTAACGATTTAATATCAATGTAATCTTTAGCCTTAAACTTTTATTTTACATTTATTTAGACAAAATAGTATAGAATTGTATACACTACTGTTAAAAACACTGGGTTCAGTAAGATTTTTTGGGTACACTTTATTTAAGGTGGTATATAATTAAGTAATAATATTTATTAACAACATGTTCTTACTATAGGTTTGGTTTAAGGTTAGTTGCATTTAATTATGCATAATTTACTGTTATTACTATAGTTAGTACATGCAACATGTATAAAAATGACACTGAAAATGTATCGAAACTGAGTATTTATAATTTATCAAATTCAAATAAATTCTGTTCTTTTGAACTTTCTATTCATCAAAGAATCCTGAAAAAAATTACAAATATATGTACTATTATTTAGCACAACTGCTTGCAACACTGATAATAATAAGAAATTAGAGAGTAATGGTGCTGAAAATTCAGCTTTGCCATCACAGGAATAACTTTTATTTTTAAATAGAAAAATTATAAATAGAAAACTATAAAATAGAAAACAATTTTAATCAAATAATATTTAATCACATTCTAGTTTTACTGTATTTTTTTATTAAATAAATGCAGTATAGTAAAATAAATGCATTATATCAAATAAAATCTCTTATGCCAGAATTATTATATTGAATGCCAAATCAATATATCCCTATAATCAATTAAATGCATTAAACGAAGAAAACATGTTCTATCTGTACTAAACTTCAGATAGTTGCCTGCATCTTTATAGTTATTAGCTAAAATAATATCAATATCTAAGGTCTGATGTGGTGTAGTGACATAAGCTAAGCAATAGGTTACTGGTTAGCACAGAGCAATCCATGAACTATTACCTATCACAACAAGGCAGATTGTATGTGTAATAATTGTACTGTAAGTCTCTTTCGATAAAAGTGTCATTTCAATGAACTACTTACTGTACTAAGACCAGATACCACAAGCTTATCATATGACAACCTGCTCTAAACTTCTTTCTCTCTATAAGCTCAATAAGTCTGAGTCAAACAAAATGTCTATGGAAATACATTGGGAAAGCTGTGTTACACTGAATTATGCCGTTCATAATTACTCAACCACATCAGGTGCTTTTCCAGTTATTAAACTGCAACAGCAAACCTCTGAACATTAATCAAGCTCAGGACTCTGGCCAAGTGTCCTAGAGGGATTTTGTGAAGTTTTGTAACAGTAATTAGTGGTAAAGCACTGTATAAATTTCAGCAGGAGTTTGTGTTACAGCAACACTCCACATTTCTGATGCTGTTCTTTTGCTGTTGTCCTGAAACCAGTTTTATTTATTATTTACAATTATAGTTGATGCTCTTGACATTTTGAAGAGTTTGAAATCGGTATCTTCTAACTCAGAATGTTCACTGATGAAGGAGAGGCACAGTGCGGTATATCCTAAATCCCATCATGCTCAGTAAAGCCTATCTGGTTCCACTTTCAAAGGGGTCGATTGTGCACTTTCTCATTGAGTTCCACATGTGGTGAAAGGTTTAACAATGTTCGAGAAATGAGGTCTAACATTTCTAAGCCAGAGTTTGGCTTTATTCTTTCTGGACATGTAAAATGTGACGGACAATAACAGAGAGGAATTTCCTCATTGTTTCTGAGAGAGAGAGAGAGAGAGAGAGAGAGAGAGAGAGAGAGAGAGAGAGAGAGAGAGAGAGAGAGAGAGAGAGAGAGAGAGGAGAAGAGAGAGAGAGAGAGAGAGAGAGAGAGAGAGAGAGAGAGAGAGAGAGAGAGAGAGAGAGAGAGAGAGAGAGAGAGAGAGAGAGAGAGAGAGAGAGAGAGAGAGAGAGAGAGAGAGAGAGAGAGAGAGAGAGAGAGAGAGAGAGAGAGAGAGCACATACCCTCTGGTCTCTTGTGGATTTGTTTGAACATGCTCTTATACCAGTCCTTAGGCTTGTTTACGCTCTGGTGAAAGAGATGGGAAAGACAAAAAAATGCATTGTTAAAAATAAAACATATAAATGGCATAAACTCTGTACTAAATATTTGTGATTCATATTTTTGTATTGTTTACAAGTAAAATCTCTCAACAGAATAAAAAAGCTCAACAAGGCATTCTAATGAAGTTCTAAAAACCAAATACTTGAATATTAAAATAAAGAATGCATAAAGTGCAACATATGCATTTATTTTAACAATGTTCTATTGTTTTTTAAACTAAATCAATTAATTTAAAGGGCCAACTTTAAAAAAGACGAAACCTTCCACGATGTCTTAAGTTGTCTATAAATGGCAGACTGATTTTCATCTGAAGAACTCGGGACATTTTTGCCGGGGAAAATCATAAGGATATGATTACGCACGCTCTTGAGAGCCTCACTTTAGTTCTGACAATGAAACTAATGCTTATTGTCAATGTTATCAATGTTCAGGATAATGCCGAAAGATACCTTCTGTACTGTAGGCTTAGGCTAATATCAAAGTGTCATGCAAAGAAAAGGGATTAACTCTCACACAGCCGGATCTATATAGTCTATGGTCTCAAATATACTTAGGCTATAATAAAACTATCATAACAGTGTCATTTTATTTACTTCATTTGTGATTCCAGTGAATTGCAGAGCTGGTGCAAACATGCAAACACTATGATCGGATGCTTTCTGACCTGCTGTTTTCTCTCCGCTGTGCGTTTATTTTGTTATCGAGAGGAAAGCGTGCAGCACATATTTACGTTACATATTCATCTAAACGTCGCTCTCAGCACCATGGATGGCGTCTGGATGTTTGTTAACAGTATAACGCTGCAAATGTATTTCCGAATTCTTTTTTCTTCAGCAAAGAAAGAAAAGAAACGTCACCGTGAGTATATCGGGACACTGAATCATGTTCAGTCTCTTGTACATGTGCACGAGCAATAATTTGCTGTCTGCAGTTCACTCAACGGCCACCGGTGTCGCTAATAACAAAGCCTTCTGAATTCTACATATAGCCCCTTTAAGAAGCAAACCTCCATAACATATTACCATTCATCTTCATAAAATATATCTTGAATTTTTATTATATAATATTTTATATCTTGAATATGTCTTGTCAGTAAGATTTCTATTTAAACCAAGACAAACAATTTGCTAATGGGTTAAGAAAAATAAACAATATACAAGAGATGTTCTTAATATCTACACCTACGGATAAAGATTACCTTAGATTATCTTACACGGTTTTGCTTCTCAAGTTCTTGTTTTAAAGATGTGATAACTAGTATGCATGCATGACTGGTTTATACAGCCAACAGGATAAAATGGCCATGGGTTTCATTGTAATTTCCAGCTCACTGAAGGTGTAAAAACATGAATGCATTGTGGGATTGCAGTGGTTTAGAGAGAGTATGCTGGGACTCACAGATCGGGATGCGATTGGCATGCCCGTCTCATCTACAGGACCGATTCCAGAGAACTTTATTAAGCGCTCCTCTCGGGAAGCAGAAGTCCTGGGCAGTGTGGCAGAACCTCCACTCTGTATTCCACCATTGGATAATCCAACTAAAAGGGACGAGAGATGACGAATTAAACACATATGGAATTGCATAGTACCTATTTTATTTCTAATTTCTAATTTTACTATTCTAATTGTAGGACAGAAACCTATTCTTATATTTACTTATCACCACAGATAAGATGCACATATCAATCATTTTAATTCAGTCAACACCAACACTAATCAAATGTTTTGATGCACTTAATATGACAGATTGAGTCTTGTAATCAACAGATTATTTACCATTTGTTTGAGTCGTTCCATAGTAGGATCCGAAACTGTGTGACGGGAATCCACCTCCATTGACCTCTGCGACCTGATAATACATTAGTTCACAGTCAGGGATAAATTACAATCACAGTGAATTAACAGTGAAGTAAAGAGAATCCAGGTAAATAGGAAACATTAAATGTGTTATAACACATTTTGGACACTTATAAATGTCTGAATTTCATTGTATTATAAAATATCAATCCAAGTGGCATGTGCAAAGAAATGCTTGTGCTATCTTTAAAAACTGTAAAAAGGATGAATTCTGTATGAGTCCTTTTTAATGAATGCCACAAGGGGGCAGAACAATACAAATGATGTGCCTGAAAACCTTCAGTCCAAGTCAGTGTGTAACAAAGTTGACAGTAGTGATTTTTTGGTATTATTTATAATTATAATTATAGTATTTATTGATACTTTAAATTAGCTTTAATTTTTATATTTTCAGTTTTTAATTTTAGTATAATTTTGTCATGTGCTTTGTCAGTTTTATTCGTTTTTTAATAATATTTCTATTGTTATTTTATTATTTTATTATTCATTTTCATTTAAGATTTAAGTTGAATTTTTTCCATCTACTATTTATATTTTATTTCAATCAACAAAATGTTTTAACTGAATAGAGTTGAAAATAAAGTTGAAATAAAGTTGAAATGTAAGAAAGTATTATTATTATTTGGTATGTCTCCTTTTTGCTTTAATGACAACAGCTCTCAAGCTGCATGAACGCCACAAGTTCGTGTAAAACCTATAATAATCATGTCCTCAAGAATAATTTGAGCATTTTGTGCTTCAATGGAAACGAGAACATCTATAAACCCAATATGATCAATGTCAGATATTTACTTTTTCAAAATGCATTTTGATTCATTTATATATATATTTAGGTTTAAGTTAGATTTAGAATCCTAGATTTTCAATACATCTCAGACCTTTGGATCCAAGTGTATATGAATAGTGAAGTTCCAAACACACATATGTAATAATGTGTGCAACAGTAATGTGTTACGGATGTGCTCTTGCCGTGTGATGTGAAGACGAAGAGGCTGAACTGTGGTGGAACGGGCTTAACGGAGGCGTAGGAAGTCCAGGAGAGATTACTACTACTTCCTGGCTCATATCCGGAGTCATGAAGTGCTGTCTTGATCCACTGACGGGAAGAGCCTCATCTGAGAAGATGATCCGCGAGCCATTTAGATGGTCATACACCTCCACACTTTTCTGAGAGAAAAACAGATTTTAAATTACCTAGAATCACAGTTTCCATGAAATTAAATAATGCATTAGACATTCAGTCTTATTGTCAAAAACATGAAGTGAAGGTTTAGCTGGTTAGCTTCAGCTGTTACTGGTAGACACTGTAACCATTCTCTGGGCTAAATGTTTATTCCTCTATTGACTACACTTGTGGAAAAAGAAGTGCACTTAATTGTGTCAAATTAAAAGTTTTATTTTGAAGTACATTTTAAATCATTATGCTTTAATAATCCTTTGGCATGCTTCAAAGCACACTTATTTTGATGTGTTGACTAAATTATAATTAGATTATAATAGATCATAAATGTTATTCAATATTACTGTATATTTAAACTATTTTAAATGTACTAAATTACTTAATCGTTACAAATGTGCAATTACATATTTAAATACATGACATACAAGTTTCAAAAGAAATAACATTAAAGTATATTTTAGTGCCTGTTAGTACATTTGGCAGTACACTTTAACCATATTTCAAAGACAATGGGAGTAATTATGAAATTATATAAATATGTAGGCTACTTAAATCCTATCTTAAATGGATCAAAGAAGCAAGCTTTACTTGAACTAATTGCATTTAATGTATTTAATGTCATTTAAACCATAATTCATTTTAATTTAAATGTAAATTACATGCAATTAAGGGTGTGTTCAGACTTGGCAGGTTTGGTTGAAGCACAGCGAACTCTGGTACGATTGCTCTGTTAGTGCGGTTCATTTGAATAAGTGTGAACGCTGCCATTCAAACCTTCCAAACATCCAAAACAATCGGACTGAGAAAAGCTTTGTCTCAGTCCACTTCCAAACGAACTATGGTACAGTTCGAATGAAATATGAACGCAGCATGGACCAAAGACTTCTAAACGAACCAAAACAGGACGCAACCCTAAGAGGACAGAATGCTCAAGCATACCTGGGTTTTACTTTATGAGTTCTCAGCTTGTAAAAAATATCATCACATGTATGCACATAGAACAAGGGCATTTAGCCCAGCACACAGCATTGTTTTGGATGTTCTGTCGCAAAATATACGCCTTTTGTTTTTGCTTGTTTGTTTTGTATTTTAAGGTTTGGTTTTAACAATGACAGTGTGAACGCTAAGCGAACTAAAAAGACTAAATGTATCTCCTTCTTTTTTGGTCAAAAGAACCAACCAAGAGAACTGAACTACAAGTGTGAAGCACCCTAAGTGTCCGAAAGCATTACATTCAGTTCACAATGAAGTATATTCTTTTATAGTATATTATTTCCGTAATAAGTACTCTTTTTAAAATTGTGTTACCCAATTACCCCAATTTATAGTGAAACTTTCATTTCGATTTCAGTTTTCAGCATTTCTGTGCATCACTACTATCGACAGCTATTTAAATGTTAAGGGATGTTATGCTATGCTATGCTATGCTATGTTGTTATGCTATGCTATGCTATGCTATGCTATGCTCTATATTATGCTATGTTATTCAATTCCATTCACAATTATTTGTATGGCGCTTTTTTACAATAGATATTGTTTCAAAGCAGCTTTACAGAAAATGCATGTCCACATTACAATTTAGAGTGATCTGTTAGTTATGCATTTCAGAAATGTACATCTACAAATCACACAGTTAGCTAATAATGTATTAATTTTACAATGTATTAATTTAAGGCAGAAACAATGAGCTCATTGAAGTAATGAATACAGGTTTGTTAACAAATGATTAGGATATATAGAAAAATGTAGCATTGGTGCATGTTGTGTTATGTAATATTTATTATTATGTTTTTCCTGTGACCAATTAGAAGGGCTTTGAGATTTTGTCCAAACTTTAGCAATGATGATATCTCCTCTCCTGTCAGTTTGTTACCCTTTTTAAGTATCAAAATGACCATGTTCCACAGGAAATGGGCCCTTTGTGGTCGGTGCCACTAGTGGCAAAACATTACTACCTCATTCTAATGCCCTGTTTAAGTGGGGTCCCTCATTCAATCTCACTAAGGAATGATTCTAGGGAAACACGGTCATGACGAGTTCACCAGAGTGGTGATAGCAGGTTAGGTTAGCATTTCTGGATACGTTTTGCATTCCCAAATGTCTGCCTGACCTTCTTTCCTCTCCCTCTTGACTCGAACCCCACCATACCTCACTTTCTGCTCTCTCTGTGACCTGAATAATGCTCCTGTTCTCTGTTTGAACTCTAGGGGTCATGGGAAGATCCCCGTGTTCTCACAGATGGTGAAACTGTATATTGTTAAATCATGGAGATGCCTTTGTGAGCTGGGGGAACAGGGACTGGGGCTTTTTCATGGAAATCCAAGTCTAGTCCATAAATAGCTCTCTCTTTCTCTCCTCCTGTCATTGTGTAATGGGTTGTTTGTAACGTTTCTTTCTTTCTGTGTTTCCAGGGCATCTTTCGAGGTGATGCCGAACGGCCCAGGAGCTGCCAAGGATCATAAGTAGGTACAAGTGCAAAGTACTTTTACATTAACATAAGTAAAGCAGTTAGAGAAATGCAGAGAACAAGCTTTGAATTTCAACAGATGCTTTGAAAGTTTGTCTTACCTGAGACTGCATGTCATCAGCAGGGATTCTAGTCAGTAATCTCTCAGATCTTAGACTTGCTGCCTAAAAAAAAAACACAGTACATCATAATCCATTAAAAATACTGGAGACACGTTAACACAAATACATATTGTGATGAAGCACCGTTTAGGGAGGGAAAACATTCAGTAATAAATCATTAGGACTTTTATATATATATATATATATATATGATTTAAATACGTTATTTACAACACCATTTAATAACTGGGGTAATTTTCTAATTTAATTTAATTTAATTTAAATATATATTGAAAAGCTCTTTATCAGAGCCCTGCATTATCAAAATGAGTTCATTGTTGCCATGAGAAAGCACAAACCCCATTGCAGGGTTCTTTATTATAAAAAATTATAGTTATAAAGTTTATTAAAAAAGAAATTAAGATCGGAATTTATATATAAAGACCAACTTAAACTTGCCAATGAAATAATATTCAAAAGACTGGGGCACTGTTAAATTAATTTATGTTATGTTTATGTTATTTATGAATTTGTGTTTTATTTCATTTACATATTTTAGTGCAAATACACCGACAAATTAACAACTTAATGATTTGGACCATTTTAAAATTAAAATAAAATAAAGTAAAATGTTCCTGAATAATCAGTTGCAGAACCAAAACCAGCTGTAATGAGACACTGCAGTTTGATATGTGCTATTCATCGTTTTGAGCAGTCAATTGGATTAATAAACCATTACAGTATGTTTCTCTCTCATCACACGCATTGATTGCATTCATGAATTCAATGAAAATAATGTTTGCATGTTTTGCACTCTTAAGGCCCATTCACACCAGCGATGACCAATAAAGAGTTCTAAAATAGCTCTAAAAATAAAGGATTGAGTCTGAGAGTCTACACCACAACTATAACCATAAAAAATGGCACTGTGAAATGATATTGTGGGAATCACTTTCAGAACATTTTTTTCCAGCTGATGAATAAATCCACCCTGCTTTAAAGAGCTCGAGCATTTGGTTGGACGGAAGCTTTTTGTGATGGCTTTGTTATATTCACACTCTGTGCTCAATGTACCACCATTCAACCTCAATCTGGCGTGGACTTCTTAAAGTTTGTTTCACTGCCTCAATACTTTTAAAATATTTTTTGTCTGAGAATAATTAATCGTGAAAAATCAGAAACAACTACAAAAATCCTAGGACTTTGAAACCAATGATGTGGACATTCCTGCCCTGTTGCTGTGGCAATTGAATAACTAAACAATGACCAGGGGTCAAACTTTCCAACAAGCCATAACCGTGTGAAAACCACAACGAGAAGACCCATCAAAATAACTGGGGTAAAAATCTTCACAAACAAGTGAAGCAAACATTTTTAAACAAGCAAAATGATTTCAAATAAGAAAATGTGCTGCTCTACAAAAAGTGGTGTTTATAAACCAAAAAAAAAAAAAAAAAAGTAGTCATCATGGCAACCGGTGAGTTGTCATATTTCATATGACTTTAGCTTTCCATTTGACATCAATGTTTCCCGCTCTGAGAGCAAAACCCTAAACCTAGAGATGTGTTTTCCATGTGAGATGATAAACTATGAACAGGAGACCATAATGATTTCCGTCAGTTTCCAGAATGTTGTATCCACTGCTATGAACACTGGGCTTTTCACACAGGGGATTATATGTTGGGTTATTCTCTTTCTCTCTCTTGGTCTCCCGTTCTCTCGGCCCAGATGACTCACCAGTCTTGAATGAGCTCCATTACATAACAGAGAAAACAACAATTGAGCATGGGTTTATGTATGAGTGCTTCACAATGATCTCTCAGTATGTGAGGGTCCCACAATGGGGGGTGTGTTTATTTGCATGAGTGACGCAGCTTATTAGTCGTTATGTCTTGTATCAATTAGTGATAGTGAAATCTGGGACATAAGTCAAATACATTAAACGAAAGAAAGAGTTCACTCAAAAATTACATTGTCATTTATTTCATCTGATTGAAAAAAAAAAAAGATATTGTACTGTCTTTGCATTTGGTCGTGAAAGTGTTGCGTTCCCTCAAGGAACTTATTTTCTTCCAAAAATACGTCATTCCCCAAAGAAACTTTCCGATCACTCGCAAAACTTTGCGTTCTCACACAAAACTTTTGCATTCCCCCAACAAACTTTACGTTAAAATAACGTTTTCCTTCAGTCTCATTTTACTTCCATCATACAGAGCCCCTAAAGGTTCATGGTGGTGGAAAAAAATATGAGATGGGAGGAAAAATAACCCTATAAAAAGTAAAAAAAATAAAAAGTCAACCCAAGTGAAAAAAGTCTATACCAAATTGTATTTAAAATACATTTAGTTTACACTAAATATACCGCAATCCTTTAACATTTTTACTGACATATTGCTTGAGACTTACTGATATAAACATTATAATTAAACTTTTTTTGGAGCACTTCTTTATTGCACAATGCACATTTCTTAATATAATGTGTTTTAATATCACTATTAGTAGTATGATCACTGTATAATATCGGTCTTTAAATGCAAGATATTTAAAGTGCACCTAAAGAATGCTTGCAATAGCAAAATCAAATATACTTAAGAATCTTTGGACCTCAGCATTACTTCTTCTGCATAACTAAAGTGCATTAAGTACAAAATTAGTTGTTCTAATAGACTTTAAGTATATTAATGCAGACTTTAAGTAAATTCATTTAGTATACCAAAAGTACAATTTCAGGGTATATAAATATGTAAATATATTAATAGTATACATTTCATAAAATAAATGTATTTCAAATACAGTTTGGTATATTTATTTTTCACTAGGGAATGCTTTTCTCTCTCAAATGTTGTGTGTTCCCCCAAGAAACGTCTCAGGTTACGTATGTAACCCTGGTTCCCTGAGAGGGAACGAGACGCTGCGTTTGAGACGCGGTGGGAACGCTCTGCGTGATTGCGTCATGAAGCACGTGTAAAATCAGTCCAATGGAAGCCCGATACGTCATGGGTGACGTCATAGACCAGGAAACTATAAATCACCCTTGAAAACAGACCGCGACAGCTTCTGAAAAAGTCTGAAGCAAGTCGATCAGGGCATGCAGGAAGTATGGCAGGCAAACGCAGCGTCTCGTTCCCTCTCAGGGAACCAGGGTTACATACGTAACCTGAGACGTTCCCTTTCAAGGGAACTTCGAGCTGCGTTTGAGACGCGGTGGGAACCCCATACCCACTACGCCATAGTGACAAATGCCCGTTCTGTGTGAAGTCCTTGCGCACACTAAGAAGCAAGCAACCTCGCCCCAGGAGTGGAGAGGTCAAGGTCATAAAACCTGACAAATGTATGTGGAGAGGACCAACCTGCCGCATTACAAATGTCAAGAAGGGAAACACCCGAAATTAAGGCCGTAGAGGCCGCCATACTCCTTGTAGAATGGGCCCGTACAGCCATAGGTGAAGGCTGACCGGCCGCTTCATAAGCCAATGATATAGCCTCAACTATCCATTTGCTCATAACCTGTTTAGATGCAGGGCACCCTCTTCTGAGTGACCCAAAACATACAAATAACTGCTCTGACTTACGCCACAGGGCAGCTCTGTGAACGTAGGCATCCAATGCCCAAACTGGACATAACAGGTTCAGTTGTTCCTGATCTGGGGTATTAAAAGGTGGAGGATAAAAGGCCTGCAACACTATTGGGCCCCTAACATTAACTGGGACCTTAGGAATATAACCCGGTCTAGGGTAAGAAATGCTTTCACCATACCAGGTGCAAATTCCAGACATGACGGAGCAACCGACAGGGCATGCAAATCTCCAATTCTCTTGATAGATGAAATAGCAAGGAGAAATAAAGCTTTCAAAGTGAGGAATTTTTCTGAAACCTCTTCAATAGGCTCGAAGGGAGCCAGAGCCAGACCCTCAAGTACAATGGCTAAATCCCAAGCCGGTGCTCTAGAGTGCAGTGCAGGTCTCAACCTCAATGTACCACGGAGAAAACGAGTAATCAGAGGATCTCTCCCAAAAGAAGTACCCCCCAGAGGGGTATGATAGGCCGAAATAGCCGCCACATAAACTTTTAAGGTGGAAGGAGATAATCCAGCAGAGAAACGGTCTTGCAGAAAATCGAGAACTGAACCAACAGGGCAGTTAACAGGATCTAACTGACGCTCACCACACCAGGTGGAGAATAATTTCCATTTCAGTGCATACAGTCTTCTCGTGGAAGGAGCTCTGGAATGGAGAATGTCTCAACGACCTCAGTCGAGAGACTGGATTCTATGAGCCTGGCCCCCTCAGAGGCCAGGCCCACAGTTTCCACAACTCCGGTCGAGGGTGAAATATCGTGCCCCCTGCCTGGGACAGCAGGTCCCTCCTGAACGGAATCTCCAAGGGAGAGCCGTCCAGAAGAGACAAAGTCCGAGAACCAAACTCGAGTCGGCCAGTATGGGGCTACTAGTAGCAGATGAGCCCCTTCCCGGCGAACCCTCTCCAGAACCTCCGGGAGCATAGATATCGGGGGAAATGCGTACAGGTGCAGCCTCGGCCACACCTGCACCATCGCATCCAGTCCGAGAAGAGCTGGCTGTGTGAGGGGGAACCATATAGAGCAATGCGTTGTACAAACGATGTGAAAGGTCGACTTGACTTTAGTTAGACCAAAGTTCTCCCTAAGAAGCTCCACCACCTCGGGGTGAAGTCTCCAATCCCCTGGGCCTCAGCCCCTGCCTCAACAGGATATCTGCTCTGATATACGAGACCATCAGTGTGTTGTCCGCCATTCGCCGAGCAACCACTCATGATCGCCCCCACTTGTGAGGGAAGCATCCGTCGATAGCAATATGCGTCGACAAGAAGCCCCCAACACTGGGCCTGGGCGAGGAACCAAGGTTCTTCCACATGACCGAAGCACGAAGGCATAGCCGCGTGACCTTGATCATGCGAAAACGTATTTCCCCTCGGAGAAAACCCCTTGGTCCTGAGCCACCACTGCAGGGGTCTCATGAACAGAAGGCCAAAAGTAATACGTTGGACGCAACTGCCATGAGACCCACCCGTCTGAAACTGTTTCA